TTATTTATTATCTGGATGCAATTTTATTTAATTTTTGTATTACAAATAATAACAAATGTATGTATATCAAATATTTTAGTACAATATTCTTCTCACTTTTATTTTCTTCGTTAACAATAATTGTTTGTAAGACGTAAAAGATGTTGCTTCCTATCGCTGTTCCACCCACATTTCTGAATGCTCTTCAAATTTTCATTTGTTTCATTTCTTTGTTTTATAATAATTGGCGACGTTACGTTCACGGCTTATATAAGTTCCTCATACGTGTGACATGTATGCAAATTTGTTGTGATGTTCATTTCATCAAATTATTATTATAAAAAAAAATTACAATTTATTTGAAAATATAAAAAATGAAAAACATGATGGAAACACACACAAACTAAAAGTATACATATAAAAAATTCGTTCAATAAGAGTTAAGAAGAAAGTCGCGTAAATGTGCAGCTAGTAAGACAACAAATTAAGATATCTTCTAGTGGTATACATTCTCGACTGTTTGTCATAACAAATATTATCCAGATTTGCAGAATAGTATATAATTGGTATAAACAATTGACACTGGAAACTGACGGTTCTAGCTCTATTTAAAATTTGCATCGTGGATTTGCAGGCTGATAAAACTAACTGATAAGCTACGGCGACTCTATATACAGTCGCTCCTAAGACTGCTGCTTTATAAACAGCTGCGCTTTAGCCAATTTCATGTGTGATCTTGAAATATACGTTCAAATGCCAAAATTTAAAACGAAAGTTTTGCTGAAAAATTTGAAAAAAAAAAAAATTATTATATTAATTTGGAAAATAGTTTTTGCAGTCTCAAGTACTGTTTGGTATATTTCAATATTCAACGGAGCTTTGTTGTTTTTTTTTTTTTGATTTATTAATTTTTATTGTTTTCTTTATTTGCCAATTTTTCAAAAACTTAAAACATTTTACACAAATTAATTTTAAAAATTTTAATACGTACGCAGTCTGTTTAAAAGTAAAGTTAGATTATACACTCCTATATCTACATATACACTATATACTCATATATATATTTATATATATATATATAAATTTGTTTTTATAGAGAAAGATATATTTTATATATATGTATGTATATATAGATTTAGTAATTATGATTAAATCTTGCCTTTGCATCATCACAATTCATGTAAAGTTTTTGTTGTATTTTCTTTTGTTTTGTTGTTTTCTACATATTTTGAAATATATTTTTCATATTTTTTGCTTCAGTTTCCATGCGCCGCTTGCAAATTTATGTTATAAATTTCTATTTCTGTGATTTGATTTTTACTTGTTTTTTAATGTTTCTTGTTTCAGAGTTTCCATTCAATTTACACACGTATACAGTTATTGTTGTTGTTGTTGTTGGATATATATAAGTAAGTATATTAAGAGCTGGGTCAAAAAAAAAATGTCGAATATTTGCTTGCGCTTTTCTCCTCCTCACAATAGACAAAAATGTTGAAAATTAAAACCAATTAAACAGCTAAACAAATTAGTTCGGTAAATATTCTTTAACATTAGTGCTTTAAGTTTAGGCGTAAAAATATTTTGCTAAAAATTAATATTCATATAGTTTATTATATTATTGAAATATATATATATTTATGCATATATATATATTTATTTATATAACATAATATTGAAAACTTAAGCGCACAAACAAAACTAAATATTCAAATTAAAAACTATTTTTGCCAAACGTTTTTGCTTTCCCGAAAAAAATTAAACAAAATTACAAATTACAATACATATTTAACACAAATATAAAGGCAAGGTGTTTCCAAAGAACAATTTATAACATTTCCAAAACGAGGGGTGAAGGGAGGGGGGGGTTTACTTTGGGAGAATTTGAAAACAATTATATGACCGCAAAGGCATCAACGGCACATCATTTCAATTAGTCGAGTATTGTATTTTAGTTTATCATTTTTGTTTTGTTTTTGTTTTTTTCTTTTCTTTTTGATTTAACCAAAGTGAAAACTTGAACGGATTGTGTAACAGGTTTTGCCAATTTTCTTTGTAGTTTACAATTAGAACACATTAACAATTAAGACTTATAAATTAGATTACAAATTTAAAACAATATAAAATCAGTACAGTATCAAATTAAACAAAACGTTTATCATTAAGCATATGTATACATATATTTGCAATTTGAATTGGGCTCCAGTTTGAAAAAGTCACCAAAATTTTCGAAAATTTCTTCATTTCTTCATAGTTTGCTTTTCTTCTCTAAGGCAAAAACGAAAAAATGTTCATCATGCAAAAAGTCGCGGCGTATGATATATAGATATATATTTTTTTTAGTTTTTAATTTTTTTTTCTGTTTGTGTGTGTTAAAAAAATGGATAATAAAAAATAAAAACTTTTTCGTAGGCAACAATCGATGAAAAATAGAACAAAATATGTATAACGAAATTTGGTTAAAAAAAAAAATAATAAAATGGTTAATTATTTGTGGTTGGTTTTGTTTGTTTTGAAATTGTTGTTTAATTGTTGCTTCTTTACGTTTAGTTTTATATAGTTAGAAAATGGCGCACACTTTGCTGCGGCGGCTGCTGCTGCTGCAGTTTACTCTCCTGCAAAGGGTGTACTTTTAAATATTAGGGTATATGTGTTCATCTGTGTGGGTGTGTCTGTGTGTGTGTGTGTCTCTGTGTGTATATGTTTCACTAAATTTAAGCTTAACTATGGTCATTTAGAATTGGTAGTAAATGTTCTTATTGTTGTTTGCTAATGTTTATTATTATTATTATGTATTAAAGTTCTTTGCTGGTGTCGCAAATTTGTTTTTGTTTTGCGCAAGTTTAGAAGTTTTTTGTTATTTAACTTTAGGCAACTGCTTGGTGTTTGTTTATCTGTGTATGTGTAACTGTATCTGTGTTTTTGTGAGTGTGGCTGTGTGTGTGTATATTGGTGTTTTAATTTTAAAATATCATATATATTCCGTTTTAGGCGCTTGCTGAACAATGTTTATAGATACGCTTTAAAAAACTTTTCATCATCTTCATCATCATAATTGTTCTTGAGTTTAAAATTGGAAGTTTTGCTTGTTAGTCAATTATAACTAATTTAATCGTTTATACATTTTAGTTACGTGTTTTTGCTTTACTTGAGATCTAGCAAAAAATTTTCATAAAAAATACAGATTGAAACGGAAAATAAAATTTTGCGAAATATTAACAAAAATTCTTTGTTTCTTTTTTCGTTTTTTCATGTTTTCATATTGATGTTTGAAGTTGTTGTTGTTGTATAAGAGGCATGGAGTTACAGTTAAATAATGCTTATATATATTATGGAGTTGCTATATAAGTATATATATAGGGGATAGACCCGGTTGCGGTTTACTATGAACTTATTGCAGCACTCTAAGAATGTCAACTTTTAAGGAGTTGATAAAAGAAGAAACTGAATATAAATTTGGAAAATTCTTTAAATGTTTTTTGTTTTTGGGGGCTAATTGATTTTGTAAATTAATTATTATTATTATTATTTTTGTGTATATTAATATTTAGATTTAATTTTTGCCGTTATTAAATTCCCTATAATATTATTTCTTTGTAAAATTTATAGTTCTTACTTATTATTATGTTTCTTCTTCTTTTTTAACTGCTTGTGATGTGTGTGTATGTGTGTAAGTGTATTAGCTTGGTGTCTTACTAATTCGTTGCATCTCGATAGCAGCAATTCAACTGCCTTTTGTATCTAGCTAGCGAGCTCGATCTTTATGCTTTGCGTGTTCAGTTTCTTTTTTAATTTGTAATTTGTTTGTGCAATTTCTTAGCTCTACATACATTATTGTTTTTTTTTTTTTTTTTTTTTGTATTTAATTGATTTCAAGTTACCTAAAATAGTTTGCAATTTAATCGAAAAGTCTTGCCAACGTGCAGAGTCGCAGACATTATATAATAATGCCAATCGCTGCTGCGCTTTAATTTTTTTTTTTTCTTTTAGTTTTAGTTTTCTTAACATCGATCTCAAGACTAATTTCGAATTTTATTTATTTTCGCATTTTGCATTTTTTTTTTTTTTTATAATTTCAGTCAATGTTTCTTCATTAAGCTTTGCTTCTGAATTACTTTATTAATTTTATGCATTTGATCAATTCTTTAGAGCTTTAAATTTATGTTATTTAATTTTGTTTTCATATTTACAATTGAAGGGAATCTTTTTTTTTTTTTTTAATTTATTGTGTGCAATTTTTTCGTCTTTTCGATTTTCTGCTTGATTCTATTTTTTACAAATAGTAGTAAAATATTACTTTTCTTTTTTTTTCAATTTGGTTTACGCATTATGTATAAAAAGTTGCTTAAGTTTTAAAATCAATATGAGCCTAACTGCACTATACTGATATATATAGATTTTTATATGTAATTATTTGCTTTTTCTGGTTTCGTATTTTTGTTTTTCTCTTTATCAGTTTATTTTTTTTGCTCAATTATTGTTTCCATTTCAAGTTAAAAACGTATTTAGTTCTTGAATTTTAAAAGGGGATCGATCGACTGTTTTTTTTGTATTCATGTTGCCTTTAAAATTTGTCTTAGCAAAATGCTCTAATTATTATTTAGACTTTTGTATTATGTGATTATAAAAATTGAACGAAATATGTTGTTTTGCTAAAATGCTGCGGCAAGTCTATAGATATGCTATATAAATGGTATATAATAATTATTTCATTCTGATTTATATAGAGATAGAGATAGAATTAGAAAGAGAAAGTGAGAGAGATGTGCAAAGCAGTACCTAATCGAAAGTATTAAAAGGGTTTTATAACACCCAATTGCTCTTCTTATATAGGACTTAATTCGCTACACGCTGCTTTAGATTGGAAAAGATAAAAGTCATATACATATACACATATATGCATATATATATATATGTATGTATGTATGCTGCGTTGCAGTAGCTGTAGTAGTAGTAGTTCTTGTTGTTGTTGTTGTTGTTGGTGTGCCTTCTAAGTTCCGAGTGTGTGTTGTTGTTGTTGTTTATTATTAACTGTAGTTGCCTGTCATTGTTGTTGTTGTTGTTGTTGTTTTTAACTCCATGCCGAAAACGTATCCATATACCACTGTTCACCATTTGTGCCTAAAGGTTGCTGTGGTAGCGGTAAACTGCCCCAACTGCCGCCATTTCCTATTAAACCGCTCTGGTAACGTCGCTTAACATCTGCCGGATTTTGGTGACCTCCATCGAACTTACGTTTACCGACTACTGCAGTTGGTCAACAGGAATGCATATGCGTTGTTGTTGTGGTTGTTGTATATGAATGCGTGTGTTTGTTTGGTTTTTGCATTTGGTGGGTGGTGTGTGGTGGGTGTGGAACGGATTTAAAAAGAGAAAAAAGAGAGAGTTAAAATTGGTTGTTAATACTACACAAATGGAACAGTTCTTTTTGCTATTGTTCGTTTTCGTGGCAAAAGTTTTCGTTTATTTTTAAAAGAATTTTTTCATTTTTTTTTTGTGGGCTATGGCAGAACTGCGGGTATTTTGTTGTTTTGTTATATTTAGTTATTTTTTATAACTTTTTGTTTTGTAAGAAATTAAAAATATTGAATATAATACACACACATATTTTTGCATTTTTTTTTATTTAGGTAGCTCATATTTTCTGCGTACAATTACACAACAAAATGTAGAAAATCTCATTAATTAGACATAAACGTCGGGGACTTGGTTTTTTTACACAAACATGACACAGATGTGATTGTGTGTGTGTGTGACTGTGTGTGTGTGTGTTTGTGAGTGCAAGTGTTCTAGTGTGTAGTGTAAGCGATTAATCGTGAGTGTATTTATGTGCGTGTATTTGTGTAGTGGGGGTAGTGCACGTGTAGATAAAACATTGAACATGATATTATCGCTTATTAAACAACATGTAATTAAATGTGAGGATTTGTTAGGGGGAGGACGACGACAATGTGTGCTTTGTTGACCGAGTCGTTTTGGGTTTGCTTATTCTTCCAATCTTCAAAGGGAGCGCTGTATCTCCTAAGATTTCTCTGGTGTCTTGTTCGCCTGTTTTTCGTTAGAAACTAATTTGGAATTTTGTGGTACATATACATATATATAGCGTTGATTTTGGGATTAGCCTTAGCCTTTTCTTCGTGATTTGATATTCTTGAATGTTAATTGAACTGATCTCTTTTGGGAAATGGAAATGAGAAATTTGGAGTGGACGTGTTGGTTTCTCAAATAGGGATTTCGCAAAAGCAGGCTTTTCTTGTCGATGGGTGTAACGTGTGTGTGAGTATGTATTGATTTTATCATAATTTTTTTTAGTTAGAGCTCCTCTTTTTCTCTTTCTTTTCGGTACGAGATGACTTGGACTTGCGTGAATGCTTCTTGGATTTGTGTGATTTAATTTTGGTACTTGAGGAGCTCTGACGCTTCAGTTTCTTGCTCGGCGAACGACTTTTGTCGCTGCGCGCGGAACTGACGACCGAGGAGCTACGCTTAGTTGCCCTCCATGAAAGTCTTGAGTGCAGATCCAGCTAGAAACAGATTTTAGATGTTTTTTTTTTCTCTCTTTTTTTTTTGTTACAATTTTTTTTTTTTTTTTTGTTGTGTTTTTGTGTCAAATATATATATTATAAATTTATGATTGAAGCCGTTCTAAGTAGAAAAAAAAAAATCAACCAAATTAAGCTTACCAAATGTGGATGGAGAATATAAAATGTGGGCGTTTATAAGTAAAGCGTGTAAAATAGTATGTTCAACTAAAGGTGTTTGTATGCCACGCTTTTGCCTTGGCTAAAAAGGCGAACGATATGGGCAAAAGCGTGCATTCTCTTGCTATGTATATGTAGCCATACAATATATTTAACAAATTATATTTTGCATATGTAAAAATAAGGATGTGTTGGGTTGTGTTTATCGTTAAAAACGCAATACACGAATCGATTAGTATTTGTTGTACAACAGAAAATTTTTATATATATATATATATTTATATATACAAGTATTTAACCAAATAAAAACATTTATATGTGAGTAAATAGATGTGTGTTGTGTTATTTATTTATAGATCGGTATAAATACACATATATATATATATTTATATAGAGGATATGGTTACTAATATTGAATTTGAACTGTTTATTGATTAGCAAAGCATGAACTTAAACTTTATTTAACATACATAGATTTATACTCAAAATTTAGAAAAAATATTTATTGTGCCAACGCATCAAATATTTATTTATAATTTTCTTGTGTAACCAAAATATTAAAAAAAAAAAAAAAATTATATACACGTACGTCAATTTGATTGAAAGGATTTCATGTTGGGAAGCATTTATTGGGGGGAGGAACACGGGCGTATCTTCAACTCTCCACTGACTCCTAACAGTTGATACCAGCAGTAGCAGTAGTAGTAGTAGTAGTAAAACAGGGGTAGATGGGCGGGCGGGCATGACAATATTTAAATACTAATCGATTCATAAACGTTTACACGGCATATGTACCTCAACATATGTACACATACATATGCATTCATATAATTTGTTATACTGGCTTTCCATATACATGTGCGTGAGAGCGTGTGTGTGTTTCGTGTAGGTGTAGGTGTGAGTGTGTGTGTGTGCATGTGTAGTGTATGTGTGTCGGTGTGTGTGTGTGTGTGTATTGTTGCCGCTTGCTGCTTTTGATCAAGTCAAAGCTAAGTGCATGCAAAAACCGTAGCATACATTTGAGCGCTGTTTAAAATTATACAAAAAATGATGAAAATTTCGTGACGAAAATCCAAAAGCAGCAAGAGTTCATTTAAAAAGCTACATTAAGAAAATATATTTATAATATAAATATATATATGACGCATATAAATAGGACATTTAAAAGATATATATAAAAAGAGAATATTTAACAACTGGCTTGTTTTACAACATTGAAACACATTTACAAAATGCAAAATGAAAACAAAAAAAAAAAAAACGATAAACGATATAAATTATGGGTAAGAAAATCACGACATTTAGTGAACCTGGAGACGCTCCCATTTCAAGCTTCGTTCGTGGGTGGTTAAAACCACTCAAAATCATTGTGTGTACGTGTGTGTGTGTTTGTGTGTGTAGGTGTGCTTATATGTGTGTGTGTGTGTATTTTTATGGGTTGGGTGGTAACATTTTACTTGGCTTTACTTATTAATTTATATGAATTTGTATTGTTATGCATTTGAGATTGTTGCTGTTGCTGTTTGATGGTGTTCGTGTTGTTGTTGTTGTTGCTGCTGCTGCTGCTGCTGCAGCTGTTGCATTCGAACGTTGGATTTTGGATTTTTATTTGTCTTTTTGTTGTTGTTGCTGTTGTTTGTTTGTTTGTTTGTTGTGGTTGTTGAGCTCACCTGGTAAATTTTGTAGCGGCTTGACGTGCTGGGTGCCAGGAGCGCTGGGACGCATTGGTGCCACCCCACGGACCCCCCCGGTTGCTGCCGGCGCCCCCTGAACGGTGGCCGCCCCCCGATGAGCCGCCGCCGCCGCCTGTCCCACCGCCGCCACCGCCGCCGCCGCCGCCTGTGGCACTGGCTGGGCCCCCAGACGACTGATGCTGCCACGCTGGCCAACGGCTCGTCCACGCGGGACTGTGATTCCATGCCCACGACCAGCTCCCTAATTATCATCATTGATTGCAATGGCATGCATGCATGTTTGTAGTATGTGTGTGTGTGTGTGTGTGTGTGTGAGAGACAGAGTGTGCATGTTCGTGTTTGCGTATGCGTGTGTGTTGTGTGTGTGAGTGTGTGTTTCATTTCATTTTGTATATTTATTTATACATATTCCAGAGCGGGGCATTCCGTATGATTCCATATTCAGTTATTCCAGGTTTTTGAGCGTTGATTGATTTGTTTTTGGTTGGATTTCGAATTTTTGCAGTTTAACAGTATTTTTTTTATAATATAAATTGAGTGTAAGATATATATATATATTATATATGGATCGCCAAGATAATGAATTTTGATCATATCAAATTAAAATAGAATTGGATTCAAAATTTTGACGTCGAATGCAGTTGCAAATTTCGAATTTAGTTTTTAGAGAGGAAAGACGGTTGGGCAAATCATTAAATAGCGGGTATTTCGGGTTGATAACAATTTTGTTGATTTTTTTTCGGTTTTGGTTTTGTGGTTTTTGAATCGAAAAGTTGATCGATAGAAAGATTTGTTTATGATTGGTCGTTGGTTGTTTGTTTGGTTGCATTAATTTTAGGTTTTTAGGTTTTTGGTAGAGAATTTTTTTATAGGAATTTTGTATAGTTTGACGAACATATATATAATTTTTTTTTTTTTTTTTTTTTTGGTTTGCAAAGTTTTCAAATTTTGTTTGTTACCGAAAAACAAATGATTTGTTTTGTATATATAAGAGTATAACAAGAACATATATAAAAAGAAAAGAAAGAAAAGAAAAATCGAAATAAACGCGTTAGATTCTTGTATTTACATACAATAATAAAAGTATGTATATATATTGTTTATGTTTATATGAATTAAATATATATTATGTATATGAAAATTACGTTCGATTGATAAGAAAAAATGCTAATATATATTTTAATATTTGTGTTGTTGTCTCTGGTGTATTAATTTGTCTGTGTACTGAGTATCGCTCGAATCGAGCAACAAATGCAAATTTTACTGCCTCTAATATAGATATAATTTTGGAATTGTATTCATAACAACAAATCACAGCGCAAGATTTTTCGGTATCTATTAACGAAATGAGCTGAAGCTCTATCAAAATTTGTTTGTATGACTTTCTGTTGCTTGCGATGGACACAATATTCAAATTTTTACTAAATTTTCATAATTCAAATTATTAAATAATAAGCGTTAAGTAAAGCAAAGGGCATGTCTTAAAAGTAGGCTATATAATTTTTTTCTTTTAACTAAAGGCATTAAAAACTAATTATTGAAATTTTAAAAAGCACGATGATTAAAATAAAAACTATAAATGAATAAGCGTTGCGATAATTAAGCATTAAATGCAGTAAAGCACATCTCAAATAAAGCATTATAAGCGCAGGGAATTACAATTTAGTTGTGGTTCGATTTGTTAGTTTCCAGGACGTAAAGCAAAGCGTTGCATATTAAAGCATAATAATTTGTTTCCATTGCTCAAATGTAGGCCAAAAGGTGTCGTTAGGGTCTGTGAGCTGTTGTGGGTGGTGATGTGTGTGCAGTGGCTGTGGATCGTGTTGTGTGTGTGTGTGGATTGATGTGGTGCTGCGCGGTGTAAGTCGTGGTTGGGTCGTTTTTATGCGGTTGGCAGCATTTAGCATGCAAATTTTGACATTTGTAAACGAAAATAAAAATGTAGTCGAAATTAGTTTTCCGTCTTACAACAAAATAAGCAATGAAGCTGAAAACAAAACAAAATTAAAAAAAAAAACAATCGGCCTCACAGAGAGCTCAGGGGGGCTCGATATCGAAATCAAATAAAGCCGAATAAATATCCAATTACATCCAAACTACATTACATTATTTTCAACAACTCTACAGGAGAGAGTACAGTATAACGATTGTGTTTCTGTGTGCGTCGTGTGTGACTGTTGTTGTTTGTTGCGACTACTGAAGCAGCGCATCGGCGGCAAAGTAGGACAAAAAGTAACACGCACCATAATCACTGGCGAGTTGGCCGAGCCACCTTGCTGGGATCTTGATGGACGCTGTGAGGGGCTCAGCGGCACGGAACCGCCGCCCGAATTGTTTGGCATGGCCACAGCAGCGCCGTTGATGCCGGCACCACCGGCAGCTCCATTGCCGCTGGCGGCGTTCGGATAATCATAATAGCTATATTCGCCTTCATAGGCACGATAAACGTCATCGTAGTACGTATCAGCACCAAAGCCAGGACGAAATTCTGAATAGCCAAAATAATCATAATCGTAGTCTTGAATTTGGATTTTTGGGGATAGGGGGGATAGGATTATGGTTAACAATTAATTACGAAACAATTCATGTGTTACGAGGTGTGGCGTGTGTGTGTGTGTGCGTGTATGTACACTCAGTGTGTTTATATCGAATGGTGGGGCGGGGGAAGAGAAGAAGAACCTGTCTAAGCTGCGCTTGACCAATTTGTAACTCGAATTGGGCGCGTTCTGAACGCTGAATGGTATGGATGGGCGGTATATGTTGGGTATGGTGGGCGTGGCAGACACACAATATAGATGTTGTTGGTATAAGTAGAGATTGATGGCTTGGGTTACTTACCGGTGATAAAACATCAAACAGTATACAGGGTGCTTAACATTCGCTACACAGAGAACACAATGGCAACGTTTAATTATGATAAACACAGCTATGAACAACGTTTAGAGGTTAAGTCTAACTATGTGTAGTGGTATTAGTAAGTTATAGTTGTTGTTGTCAGAGAGTACAGCATCTTGAAGATGTAGGAGAAGGAGAGCCGAAGACAAAGAAAAAAAAACAAATAAATATATATATATATGTATGTATATATATGGAATGAACGTATGACAACATCGAAAAGAATCGGGCATGCAAACAATGAAAACGAATCGAGAGAAAGAGAGAGAAAGACAAAGAGCATTAACATACAAAACTTGCAAATATGAAATATTTACGTATAGCAGAGTGAAAAAACAAATGAAGAGGTTATGTTCAATCAAAGTTTGGTTATGTGTGTGCGCAAATTGGTTAAATCAATATCTCGATTATCAATTGGTTAGTCTCAATCTAGCTGGATACTAGACTGCGGATAGGTGCTAAGGCATTTCGTGTGAGTGTGTGTGTGTGTGTGTGAGTGTGTGTGTGTGTGAGTGTAGTAGTAGTAGAGTAGTAGTAGTAGTAGAAGTACTTGGGGGCACGAGCGTACATGTTAGTGGGCATCGCGCTTTCTAACCTTAAAATAACTAACTAAAATGAGAGAGACGATAAAAACGATAAAAGGTGTTGAATGAAAAACCAAATATTGGCACTGGACATGATAACTTAAGGATGTAAGCTGCAGACCAATTGGATGTATCTGGCTAGTTTTAGTTCAACAACTTTAGTTGTTAGTTTCTCGCTGTGGCTTAGTAGAGCAATTACATTTATCTAAGATTTAACTAAATATAACCTATTAAATAAGGTACACTCAAAGATTACGCTCGTTTGTATTCGAATTACTACGGATCTAAAGTCAAATGTTTCTCCTGCGATCTTTCGATCATATTTTTTTCTAGTTTTCTCTTATTTGGGAGCCACACACGTGTGCGGGCTCGTTTAGTATATATATACACACTCAGATATTCTTGATACTTGGATGAGAATAATCGATTGGTTCACTTATTGGCGTATTTGCCCAACTTACCGTATTCACGGGGCATCGGTGTGCGGAGGGGCATACGCGCCCCCGGTAGGCGCACGGGTGTGATGGACATCATGCTGGGGTGTGTCGGCGACAGATTTCTGTATGGAGACAATGTTTCAAATCTTTACAAGTCAACCAATTTTAAAAGAATTTGGATTATAATTATTATCAATTATTATTTTTTTTTATAGGTTTTTTGGTTTTGTTGTTGTCGTGTTGTGGTGGGTGGCAGTGAAGCAACGAACAAGTGGGATCAACCATTTGATCACAAGGCGATTGGCATTTCGCAATTGGCAATAAAAAGAAAGAAAATACAAAATTATATAAATTAAATGAATCACAAACGGATTCCATACAGTGGACAATGGCGACTTGAAAAGCAAACATTTCATTCAATTTTCTTTTAGATGAACCAAAATCTCGAAGCCAATTGTAATTAAAATGAATAGATTTTAGAATTTTGCGCCAATTTCATGTTGTGCTAGACAAGGATTATTATTTTGGGTGTGCGTGTATGTATACATATATGCATATGAGTGTGGACAAATATAGAACTTACCCAACGATTCCTGGACGCGCCTGCATCATTTGCATCATGCGTCGTTCGCGTGCGCGCAGTATTTCCTCCTTTTTCTTTTTGTCCGATGGTGGTTTGGCGAGTGAGACCTATTAATAAACAATATTGCAGTATAATATATACATATATACATTCTCATTTCGATATATTCAGTTATCGAACATACCTCAATATTTGAGGCGCCGACCTCCTTGCCATTAAGGCCACGCATAGCTTCGACGGCGCTATCACGATCCTCAAAATGTATAAAGGCATAGTCTTTTATCTTCTTGACGCGTTCCACTTTGCCATATTGCTCGAATTGTTCCTGCAAAGAGATACACTTTCCAATTTAGCACAGTCTCGAGATTGTTGTAATTTTAGCTAACCTTCAGTTTATCCTCTGTAACGTCTTGCGTTAGGTTCCGCACGTAGAGTACCTTAACCTTAGACATTGTTTGTTCATCCGGCTCCTCCTGTGGATCAGCCCAATCGACTATAATATCACATCCCCAAACCTGCAAGTAGAATTATTGGTTAACATTTTTTGTTAGGGCCTGCCCTGGATCGGTTTTTATACTTACCTTAATTCTACCAGTGCCAAGTCTCCGTTTGGCCAATGAAGCCGCCTTGTGTGAATCGTATTCGAGAAAACAGAAGCCGCGGTTCTTTTTCTTGTCATCTGGCGAGCTATAGATGATTACCTCGTAGAGGCCAGCTACGAATTTTCGTTATGGATTACAAGGATTGTAAAGGAAAATGTGATGATTATTAGTATCACTTTTAACTAGCATAAATTGTCATTTAATTAAATGCACAACTACGGAATAGATTAGTTTTCACACACACACACAAATATATATATAGAGATTGAGAGAGAGAGAGAGAAATACAACAAAAAAGTATTTGTATTGACAGCATTTTTGTGTGTGTGACTGTTGGCTGAGTGTATCTATGTAAATGTGTGTGTGTGTGTGTGTGTGTATTGATGGCATTAAGAACCGCACTTTAAATTAAATTTGAATTAACGTATTAAATAAATAACAGAAATGCACAACATTTTACATGACAAGCGGCGGCTGTGCATGGTAAAATAATGCAAATTTCTGAGCTCTTCAAGATATTAAGTTAATCGTATCGTTTACACTCGGTTAAGGTGATTTTGAAAACCAATGCCAACAGATTCTTTGCTGATATTTGTTTTTAAATATTTTTGAAAAAGTAAATGCGCTAAGCTAAACGAATTCGATGTGTATATTTTCGCATAATCATATACGTATATAGAAAGATATAGACACAGAGAGAGAAGAGAGAGAGAGAGAGAGAGAGAAGAGAAATGAAAGACACACTTAGAGAGAAGGCTTTTATAAGAAAAACTAAAAATTAACTGGAATACCGTTGGTTGATGTTGCTTCTGTTTTTTTTTTTTTTTTTTTTTTTTTGCTTTTTACAAGTTGCAAAAAAAAAAATAAGTTAAAATTGATATAGATAAGGAGTTATATAGTAGAGCACACACTGAGCTTGAGTATTTCTTTGGTAGGTTAAACAAAAACAGTAACAGGATAGTATACACTGAGAAAGACACAGATATAGTAAGAAACACACGTATATATATTATATATAGTATATATATATATTGATTTTGATTTCGAATTTGAATTGAGTTTCCATCGAATTGCACAGTTTGATAGAGAAAGATAGAGAGTAAAATGAGTTTTGGGGTGGGGGATTAACACGTTTACAGTAAGTGTTTTCTCCAGTCATTACCATAGTTATATATGATTGGCCAGAACAGAGATCTATTATATATACGAATTGTATTTGCCTAACCAAATTAATATGGAGTTTGGTTGTTTGTGTGCGCGTTTAATAGTTTTATATGTTGTTTCTGCTCTAAATCAAAAATTGACGCGTCTCTGATGCTTTCAAAAATATTCAAAAATGTTTGTTTTGGCAAATTGTTTAGCTACAGGTTTTCAATGTCAGCAAATCGGGCACATTTAGTGGAATTAAATTAATACAAATCATAATTAAAGTGTAACAATTAATTTTTTGTTGTATTTGCTAGATAGATAGATAGATAAATAGAGAGAGAGAGATAGAGATAGAGAGACATAGGGAGGAGAGATAGTTGAGTTAAATCGAGCTAAACCGTATCACAGTTTGGCTCATTGGGGATTTCCTTTTCTTAATGGGATTGTGTGTGTGGCATGATTATACAAATTTTGAAGAATTTTTTAAAAGCGAAAATTGCAAAACAAAAATCCAATTAGTACTTTGTTGCTGCTGCAGTTATTTTCAATTCTGGCTGTCTGCAAGTATCGCCCCTAAAAAGTTTGATGCCTTACGCTTACTATTACCAATTCGCTGGGGGGTGTTGGTTGGGTTTTATTTATTTGTATGAAAGTTTTTGGTTGGAGGGTATATTATTTTCATTTTATTTTTTTAGCTGATTTCATTTGTTTGGTTTTTTTGTTTTGTTTTGTTTTGTTTTGGATCACTTACGTGCATGTTTAGAAAATTCCTCAATTAATTCGTCACGATCTCTATTTTTAGGTATATTGCCGACAAATAGCCGGTGATTGTTAAATGATATCGTAACACCAATCTTTTTGCCTTTCCGAATTTCAAAATCATTTAGCTGCAATTGTTCAAAAGTTCACACAAAACAAAAGAAAAATTTTGATTTGCTATGAAAAATTTGTATCCATTGGTACTGCGATTTTTTGGGGATTTCGATTTGGTTTTTGTTTTTGTTTTTTAGTTTCTGGGTGAAAAGTTATGGTTGTTTCAGTGTGTGAGTGTGTGTGTGTCTGTGTGTATAGGATGTGCGTGTTTACTTAAAAAATTTGTAAGATCTAGACTTAGGCTTAAGAATTTGTAAATTAAGTTCTTAGTTTGTTATTCGTGCCAAATAAAAAAGAATTTATAAAAGTATTTGATTAGGATTTAGCTAATAATTTGTTTGCTGCGATTTTACATGAATTCACTTGCTGTTTCACTACCGAGAGTTGTTTTCATCAAAAGTCATCTGTTGCTTGCTTTCGGCTGTCAAATCTTACCTTTCGGAAACATACACAACACACAATTCAATAATTTTGACACCAATTGCAGATGACCTAACAATCACAACCTTCGTAAAGAATTGAACACCTCTATTAGAGTCCTATGTTATAAGGTATACAACTTAAAACCATTTACGAAAAGAATATGCAATGCATAATTTTTGAATAATTTTTAAACAATTTTTTTTGTTCGTTTTGTATTTTGGTTTTCGTACGCAAAGTTAATGACTGGAGATAATATATTTAGTATAAAAGAAATGCTCTCATATCGTTATTGAAGCGTATTATGGGCGTGTCTGTAGCTGTATAACTGGGTGAGTGAGTGGAGTGTGTGTAGATATATATATGTATGAGCGATCTGCTGGTTCGGTGCATCAATAATGGAATCTGATATTATTGTTGTGGTCGCATTTGAAAAGAGTCTCGGACGCTTTTTCAAATATTGTTTTGAGTTCATGAACTTGTACTGCATATGTTGGTAATGGTAATGGAATGGCAGGTGGTGGATGGCAATGGACATGGTTGGATGTGAAATGATATGATAAAACAATAAAACTTAAATTAAACAAAAAAAAAATAATCCTGAGAGAAAGTTATTCTCTGACCTATGCTACAATAAACAAATGCCTGCCTGTTCAATTAGCCAATTCAGTTGTTATGAGCCAATTGGATTTTTGTTTTAACAATTTAAAGCCGATTTGTTGGTAGAGCTTTAGAAAAAGGCGCTTGGGGGAAAGAAAGAGAAGCGACCTTTTGTAAAGCTACATAGTTGAAAATTTTAAATAACTGTTTTAATTTCGTTTCAATTTACCTGTAAGTTTACCAAATTCCTCTAAAATTTCATCTTTGCCTTTTGACTTGGGTATATTGCCTACGAAAAGGCGCAGATTCGGTACGCTTATATTTATTTTCAGACACTTGCCGGGTTTTATTTCGTGATTATCGAGCTAAATTGTGGGGGGGAAGGTAAAACGAATTTTAATACCAATTCAATGTTAATTATAATAAATAAAAATTTAAATCATAATTTAATAACTGAGTAATAATTTTGTATAAGAACTCAAAATGGGGTAAAGGTCGGAGAGGTTGGCCAGGTTGGCTGGTGGGTTGGTTCGGGGCATTGTTTGGTCGGAGCTTTTCAAATCAAACAAAATTAAATATTTTTTAATGTATAAGAATTTTGCATTACCAATTTCAGAGTTTTTTTTTCGTCGCGGCATTTTGAAATATTAATGTAAAATTAGTTAGTAAAAAGTTGGTTAGTTTTACTTGTTATTTTTTATAGTGAAAGCTCTGTAGAATTCTGGATTGTTAGTAGTAGTAAAGAGGACATGCTCGGCTTTGTGTATATATTTTTTTTGTTTTCAATAAAACCAGACAATGAAAACGTACCCCTACAGAGTTGAGAGTCAAGTCATTATATATAAGCTACGATTCATATATGCTAGAGCTACAAATTCACTTATGGTTAAGAAAAATTTCAAAAGAACTAAAGAAACTAAAGTCAAAAGTTGGGAGAGAGGTTTCATAGTAGTTTGCAGTTCAAATATTATGTATGGATCGCAGAGAGAACTCTTTTCAAATTTGGCAAATTTGTTTTTTCGATATCTAGTGCTAAGTTATAAAATTATGTATATATGTATATATAAGTTTATAGTCTATATAAAGATAGGACATGCATACATAACAAGTTACAGATATTTAGAATAGGCAGAGCATAAAAGAGCGTTAGCGATTAAGATGAAGGCAGGACTATAGACAATAGCGATTAAAGTAGCAACAATAAAGTTTCATCATTTTGGTTTGTTTTGTCTCAAAGCGCCGAATCGGGATAATTCAGGTTGTTGTTTTCTTTGGAGTTGTTGTTGTTGTTGTTGTTGTAGTTGGAATTTCAATCGTACGAATTTGTGCTTAGAACTAAAAGTTTTCAATTGTTGAATTTGGGTCAAGCGGCTGTGTTGAGGACCAAAACGTTTTTCGTTTTTGTTTTTACCTACTATACAAAAATTTTGATAAATATATATGTATATATAGATATATATGTATATTGTTTGAAACACAAAGCGCTTTATGGACGGACGGTGTTCTTGCTGTTGTGTTGGGTCGAGGGGGTGGGAAGACATTTGGATATGTATTGATATACTCAAGGTTGGATTAAATACCTGTCGCACAGCATTAACGGCCGCCTCGCGATTTGTGAATGTGACAAATGCGTAACCACGATTTGTGCCAGTCATGGGGTCCATCATTAGCCTAAGGTCCCAAATGGTGCCGCAGTTCTCGAACAGCGGTATTAGCTCATCCTCAAACATATCCTTGGGTATTTTACCACAGAACACCTCGCAGCCATTGCCGGGCACATTGCCCTCCCAGTTGGGTGGCGGCCCGCCGTATTTGCGTTGTCCTGCATTAGACGATGATACATGATAATTGTAATCGAAGAATACGATTCTGAAATTGCATATTTAACCCACCTGTGGTCACATCCAATGTGTAACCGGTGCGTTCCAGAATCTTTTTGATCTTCTCTTCGTCGGGACCCTTCACCTGTATGGTGCTGGCGGTCGCGGGCACACCCTGTTGGCTGGCGCGACTCTTTTGGCGATAGGTTTTCATGACCCCGCACAAGTAAGCAGACTTATTTGACACATGCTCCAGATTTGACTCGAGGAACTGACTAAGCACATTCAAGGCACCATCAACGGGAAACTCCTTGAGCGCGTCCAGTGCGCGCTCATCCAGCTCGGCGTGGGCAAGTTTGCCGGTTTTGTAGATTTCATCCAGTTTGCCAGCGACCTAAATTTGAGAAGAGAAATTGTATTTAAAACAAAATCAACTGAAATTTTAATCCAAGCTCTTAAGTACCTTCTTGTCCAGACCATATTCCAGCAATTTGGGATAATCCTCTGTACGTTCGCCATCGCCACGGTCATCGGCTTTCTGGTTAATGTCATCTAATAGTTCGCCATTGCCTTCCGCCATTTCTGCAAGTATAAATAGTACATTGTTACGTTAGTGTGCGCTTTGGAGACATGCAAAATAGCGGCACTTTAAATGCGAGCGGTGGTTGCCACCGAAATAGGTCGCGAGCAAATGCGAGCGAAATTCGCACGCATCGCACGCATCAGAGAATGCCTAGCCCATAGAGCTAGCGAGGGAGAGGCAGAGGGAGAGGGAGAGCGAGAGAGCGAGGCAAGTTTGTGCAAAAAAGTTCATTGACTTCAAACAAACGCACGTTGCGGGCGATCAACGTAGTGGGAGAGAGAGAGATAGAGAGAGAGCGCAGCGCACGCACAAATTAGTGCGTGCATGACAAGAGCGGTAGAAGTTTCACGATGCGTGTCAAAAGAGAAAAGTAAACAATAGAATACAAAAAGTAAAACAAAAAAGAGGCGCGTTCGCAAATTGTGCGTGTGTGCATGTTCTATGGTCAGAATCCAAATTGCGGGACTCACGAACAGGCCTTTGGCCGCTAGCCGATGGTCGCCGGACGGCACACGCGTGCATGACGTAGTCAGACACGGTGACGATGACAGTTGCCGTTCGTTTGCTTATGTGTGTGTGTGTGTGTGCGTATGCCTGTGTTAATCAGCTGTGTGTCATTAGAACGGCTGGCCGATATAAACTGGTTGGCGCTACTGTATTCCCAAAGCTTGTTTTGCACATTAAATGCTGGGCGGCTTTAGATTATATCAATTTCACTCGCGAATTCGCACATTTATATTCATATGGCCTCATATCGCAATATGTGCAGTGCAAATGTTAGCAGCTGCAACTGGGACAGTCATAATGCAAAGGCCAGTTCCAGTTCGAATTCGATGCCAGTTGTCAAGCGACACGCACACAGACACAAATACAAATTAGCAGTTGGTTCTAACAACTATTATCAGCAATGAATATGTATGTATGTATGTACGTATGTATATTTGTGTTTGCGCGATTGCCCAAACAAAAGCGAAACACATACGCAGCAAACACACAAAAAGAACAGAACTATGGAACTCGATTATTGCGTAACGTTGTGCAAAAAAAAAAAGAACAAAAAAAAATTGATCGGAACGCGAGAGAGCGAGAGTGAAATGGAGAGCGTTGGCTTGCGGTGACGAATGGGGGAGTGAATGCGATCTGTGCGCGAGCAAGTGTGTTCGTGGTATGAGTGCGTCTGTGTGCATGTGTGAGTGCGTGTGTGAGTGCCTGTACGACTTGCTCATAATTCGCATTTGCGTATATTGCAAAAATATTTTCAGCGCTGCTTTTTGTTTGTTGCTCCGCTCGCCAAAGCTCTCACCCGTTAAGCTCTCTTTTGGCTATTGCTATTTCGTTTCATTATCGCCAATTTTTTTCGCTATCTTTCTTTGGCATGACATTGAAAAAACAAAAATTGTGTTTGTCGCTGTCGCCGCTGTTCCACTTGCGTTGTTGGTGTTCTTGTTATTATTTTATTTTCGTTGACGTTACTCACTTGAGACCCGAGTTTGGGACTTAATCTCGTAGTTTTTATTTGCAGTGGCAGTAGCAGCGGCGGCAGCAGCTGCGGCAGCTGCGGTTCCGTTGCCATTGCCGTTGGATTTTCGACCGCCCAAGATGACATTGGTGCCAGCGGCGACGCGCTGGTTAATGTTAACCATCATGATGGTAAGACAATTGCCAACAAAAACACAACAAAAACAAAAAGAACAAATTCCAGACGATTTGTAATTTACTCAATGAAAATTAACTTTTTGAAGCTTTTCAGAAAGGAATTTAGTTTTTTTTTCACTTGAAAATTCCGAAATGTGTGGCCCACGTCTAATTTTTCAGAACTGAGAAAAAAAACTGATTTTTTAGCCAGACTAGCAAACGTCAGATCGACCAAAGCCTATTTGACAATTCATTTAGGCTCGTGCCTATATCGATAAATGCCTGGAAAACTAAAAACCTGACAACTCTACACTAACAGCCTATAAAATACTTGACATACATGTATATGGAGAAAGCAATGTGTGTGCGTGTGTAAGGTGCTAGAATCTTCTCTACAGCAGTCAAAATGCGCTCAGATGCATAATTTATAGAGGTGCTGGCAGGGTCTATAACAACCAGTGCTGCCCATGCCCCCTTTGGCCAGTAGCTTCTCTTTGTGACATAAGAAACAGGACAACATGAAATAATATCTATGTATGTGGATAGTAATGCATATGGGATTACGAGGAGTACATTTTTTGTGCCGTATTACTATAGGACTTTGGCATAACGTGTTGTGGCATTCATAACGGCATTCATGGCGCAACACTCGTGTGCTAACCCTTAAGCACAGCACTTGGACGACCTCTGCACATTCAATTTGCAAATTTGCAAATTTTTTCCACTTTAACTTTTCCATTTTGCTTCTTTTTTTCGCTCTTTTTCTCGTTTCTGTCCTTTCTTTCAACATCATTTTTAATGCATGTTTGCTGTGGCAACCGGGCCGTGTTTGCAGTTACACAGCTAGAGCTCCGCCCTCAGTGGTTGGGGCTTCACAAATGCATAAAAATATGTATGTATATGTATGTATGTGTGTGTACATGAAAAAGCAGGAATTTGCATGGCTCGTTGTTTTTTGCAGCCGCATGGTAACTACCTCAATAAATTTCACGTTGACGCCGGGATACGTAAACAACGGGCCCAAACCAGCCGCACTTGTGTTAGTTGCCCCTATAGCCATGCAATGCGCTATTTTTTGCACCCCTAACAGCGCCAGAGGGCAGAGAGAGCTGAGGGCAAGAGGGCACCGGCTATCGGGCTACGGGCCAAGAGATTATGCTTGGTGTAAGGTTAGTAAATCAACGATATGACAAATGCCTGGCGCGTCCAATTTAATGCAGCCAGCTTTCAATAACAGACAAAAGAAAATCAAAATTGCTGATAAAGCGAAATAAATCGCTTTTCGCATCGCTCGCTAAGCGGACGACAGCACTAGACATTACGCCGCCGTCGCCGTTGTCTGCAGCTGGAATTACAATGCAATGAATGCAGTTGGTATGCCAGACAGGGTGACCTGCGGGCAAACGGAAAGGGTTTGCTGCTGCTCCTGAGGGTTGCTTGTTTTTGCTCCAGCCAAATGGCTGTTAAAGCAGGATTTCCCCCACCTCGAATATTAGCTGCTGCAGGAGGGAGAAGCTTGACTGAGGAATTTGTCAATATTTTTACTATTTCTAACATCATCATATTACATCACATTTAATATTTTTAGCAAGTGGACAAGTCGTTTGTGCGCTTTTAGTTACATTTGCAGCCAGTGTCATTTGGGCCCAAGTTCGGCCGTGCATAAAAGTTTGTTTTCAAGAAGCTGCACAAGGGCGCAGAGAGGCGCGCCAAGTAAATGGTCAGCCGAGGGAGGAGGGGGGGCGGGGGGTTGGCTTAGTGTCCATTTAAATATTATTGCCATGAACGAGAACGACGACAACAATAGAGGCAGCGGCAGTCCGGCCAGCGGAAGTGAATGCGGAGAGGGGATGGGAGGAGAGAGAGAGGGGTACCCCATATTATTGATTTTCTGCAACTGCAGGCGCAACCCTTTGGCTCACACACTAGCCAAACGCCGGCCAGATAAGCCAGTCAGAACGAGTGCCATAAGCCGATTTAAGGCACGAAAATAGCTGCAAGTAGTTTCGACTGCAGACATGCCCCGCTCCATGCGCAACATGGCCAGCCGGCACCGGGGAGGAGCGAGGGATCCAAGCGGAACTGTGGCAAATGTTTGCTGTAATTTATGGCCAGAGGGTTGCAGCAAAGACGCCAATGGCTGGGGGCGGTGGCCAAGAGGCTCGCTCGATGTGGCCGCATAAGTTGCAGAAATTAATGCCATTGCGACAAAGTGCCAGGTAAATTAGAAAGGGGCGAAGCAGAAGAAGAAAGTAAACAAGAAGAGAATGGAAATTCTTGTAGTTTATGGCAAATAAAGCACGCAAAATGCATTCGCCATTAAGCAAATTTGATGTCTCGGATGTGAGGAAGCCAGACGGGCAGACAAGGATAAATGCGGAAGTCTTAGAAATGCAACAACAACCAGAGAAATAAGTGGATTGAGCTGAGGTTTATGGATGGATTTCACTTGGGTAATTTGCGAAATGAAATGCTTCAATAATTAATGTTGCACAATTTATTACGAAAACTCCTGAGAATCGCATAGGAAGGTGCATCAGCCTCGACTGCCATCGCAGCTCTTTCACTACTCTCCTTTAAACGAGCTCTCTGCTGCAAGGACATAAAACCTGTCCACATTTATCATTGCAGCCGTTGGCAGTCTCTGCGCCTTGCATGACATTTCCCGCAGGACTTGAGCTTGCCAAAAATCGGTAATCTTCACAATCTTTGCTTGTTGGGCCAAACACAAACAAATCTCAGGATTTGGCCGTTACTGTTGCCAAGAAACCAATAAGGCGGCTCCGTTTGGCCACCGCCACCAAAATATTTTGGCAGCCGTAAAACTTTCAATATTTGATGCACAAACACACAATTCTGTGGCCAAAAAGCTCAGGACCTGCTCCACGATGCTGAACAACAAATGCAAGGACGAAAGAGGGGGGGGGGGGGGGGGGGGGGGCACATTCAGTCACGTGCACCGCGCCCTGACCGGGCACTCAAAAAAATTCGCTGCAATGCGGCTGACTGCATGCTGGGCACGACGCGAATTCCAAGCGAAGGATGTGGATGAGGAGGCGTGGGGTTGCACAACAGTTGCATGCAATGAACATTGTCTGCGATGTCCGGTATGTGGAACTGCGCGTGTGTGTGTGTGTGCAGCGAAAGGCTTGCAAAAAACGACAACGTGCCGGCCAGTACATAAAGGCGCCAACACACACACACACACATATATACTTACAAAAAAGATCACAGGAATGGGAAAAACGTTCTAATTTTCTGTCGCCAAAATCAAGAGGGGAATGGTATGGTAAAAACAGGGCATCTCACAGTCGTGACCAGAGAAGCCGTAGAAAGAGAAAAGGTTATTCAGCTTGCGCATCGC